GGATGGATGGTTTAACATTTTCTGAGTACCAGATGATTTTTTTTCTTTCAAAAGATAATTTTTTGGGGCACTTGATAGCCTTTGCGGTTATGTTGCGCACCCCATGTACAGAGGTTATAGTCCTCCTTGCAGTGGCCATTGGGTTCAAATCTGACCTCTGCCCTTTGCTGCATGTCGTCCCCCACTCTCCCCTCCCAATGTTTCCTGTCTCTCTTCGGCTGTCCTATCCAACGAAGGCCTCCCCAAAAAAAAAAAAACTTATGCAGTATATAAAGAAAACATCATTTTGTATGTAACTTAATGTGATAATTTGATGTATATAGTTGTACTGAACAAGGAAGAACATACTTAGAAGATTAAAAACAAAAACCTAGGTTGCATGTGACACAATACATTTTTATTCCAGTGCAATCTTCTTACAAAATAATCATTCCCCTCCTTTCCTACCCTTGCTGAGGATATTTCTCCACCCTTCATTATTTCTCACTTAAGCTTTTATTGCCTCATTGTTTGGACTTTGATGTGTCTGTGATTAAAGCTTCATAATGAAGTATCACATTAGGAAGATGGAACTTAGTTAAACTTAGTTTAACTCGAGGGACATTAGATCACAGCGGCTCCATTTTCACCGCGCCTCCCCAAATGACATTACGACAGCAGTTGTGGAGCAATTTGAGCTATTAATCTGTTTTATTACCACTCTGTCAGAATATCGTGACTCTCATTGACAAAGAATCTGACACTGTTGAATGCGATTTGAATATATGAAGCACTTTCCCAACCTCAAAGCGAAAATCCGTTTTGAATGCGTATCAACACAGGGTGAGCAGTCAGCTCTGTAAAGACTCATAAAGAGATAACTGAATTAAAGGTGGAGTAGTTTATCTCCTCTTCTTTCCCTCGCTCCTCTTTCTCTCCCTTTAAAAATCACTCTTTGCTCCCCCTTTGTCTCCTCGCACCTTCTTCTTTTTTTCTCACCTCCTGTAACCCTCCCCCCTGCTCATCACAAACTTTTCCTCTCTTCTCATTTTGAGGCGGCGTTGTTTGTGTTTGTGCTTTGCTTTTATTGAGACGATCCATCTGTGAAGCGGCTGTCATTGTGTTTTTCTAAGGCGTTGTGTCACGATGCTACATCTCGTCCTTCTTTCTTAAAGGTATTTGTGTCTCTCTTAGACACGCTGGGATGAGCGATGGCTACGCCTGTGTGGGTGTGTAAGTTTCCACTATACCACAACAGCTGTATCCAGCCCTTTCTGAACAAGCAAGTGAAAGTGTGTGTGAGTGAACGAGGCAGGTGCAGAAGACATATAACGTCTCCTTGTTTCCTCCTAAATCCATCAGAAATCTCCTAAATACCAGGGAATTAGAGAGGCTCACATTACTCTCAATTACTGTCAGTCCTGGAGAAATCGTTCCAATTATCCTTTCTGATATATAACCTATGGAGCCTGAGTGCTCTATCTACACAGTGTTATAGAAGTCATCCCCAAACAGATATTCCATAGCTGATTTCACTTCAAACCGAGACCCCAATGGCTTCTCTGTTCTGCCTGGAAAGTTTTCAATTCTTTCATTTTGCTTTGATTACTCGCTCCATTGTGTTAAACGAGATGTTGCATGTGCCAGGAAACTGCTCTCATTCATTACATCTGTTGCCATCTTTCTGTCTATTTTTTCTCTTACACACACATGCACACGTATACACACAACACAGACCACCAGCCTCCTCATTCGGTCTTAACTCCTCTCCAGCTGTGTGCCAATTTGCCCCCTCCAGAGTGCGTGTGGTTTGGGAGGGGGTGATTAGCAGCTAGCAGTGCGGTTAAGCTAAGGTTTGAGAAGTGTGAGCGTGTGTGTGTGTGTGTGTGTGTGTGTGTGTGTGTGTGTGTTCTCTTTGTGTGTTTATGCAGTGTGTGTCTTTGTCTACATACGTGTGTTAGTTCTCATATTTTTGTGCTGTGTGTGTGTGTGTGTGTGTGTGTGTGTGTGTGTGTGTGTGTGTGTGTGTGTGTGTGTGTGTGTGTGTGTGTGTGTGTGTGTGTGCGTGTGTGTGTGTGTGTGTGTGTGTGTGTGTGTGTGTGTGTGTGTGTGTGTGTGTGTGTGTAATGGTTTCCATCCTCATTACCACATAATCCCCAGCTGCTGTGTTGTGCTGACCGGGTTCCTGGAGAGAGAATTCCAAACTTGCCACCGGATTTACAGCGAATTCCCAAAAGATCCCCCCCTGGATTTCCACTCGACTCTGAATATGGCAACTCTGATGAGTTCCTAAGGCAACTAATGATTATTTATACTATCAGGGAATCTGTCCAGCATAGCCATGACCAAATGGTTAGTTCTGCAGTTTGAAAATGCCATCACAATCCCTGAACCAAGGATCATTTGTAAAACGGTTTGTTTTTGTTCAGCCAACTGTGTTAAGGCACGTCTAATAAATGTAATAGAAAGTTAACTAGCACTGTTCTAGAAGTCAAATAAAACTAATTTTTCCATCTTATCTTTGTCCCTCACTTTTCACCCCCAAAGTATCCTCTCCCATTCTCTTATCTCTGCCTTGGTGACATAATCAGGGCAAGTGGCGAAATGCTGATTTGGGCACAGCTATTCAGGACCAGAGATGGGTTTCAAGAACTGCTGATTCACTCGCAGCAGAAGTCATAAAACTTGTAAAATGAGAGATATGCCGTCAGTCAGACGAATGGGCAGACAGGGCAGCTGGCAGACTGACGTGTTGGTTTGCTGCAGAAGAGGAGCAGACAGCAGTTATAGACATCAAGAAAAGAGACATATGAAACTTGGAGTTGATCTAGAATGATTTACAATAAGTTGAAGCAGAACCAGGAGATGTATGACAGATTGGGTTGACAGGAGAGTTGACAGAGAAGCAGAAATGTTGTGCATGTGTGTGTGTGTGTGTGTGTGTGTGTGTGTGTGTGTGTGTGTGTGAGTGCACACACACACACACACACACACACACACACACACACACCCATGGCGGATATGGAGCCAAGAGGGGCAGTAGCAGACATCCCAAACATGATGGGCATGTAGTTAGTCAGACGCTTTCCACTGCTGACCACCCAAATTGACACACACGCACACACACACACACACACACACACACACACACACACACACACACACACACACACAACAGGCATCAGCGTGGAGACCACCAGCACTCTGGCTTTGTGTGTGTGTGTGTGTGTGTGTGTGTGTGTGTGTGTGTGTGTGTGTGTGTGTGTGTGTGTGTGTGTGTGTGTGTGTGTGTGTGTGTGTGTGTGTGTGTGTGTGTGTGTGTGTGTGTGTGTGTGTGTGTGTGTGTGTGTGTGTGTGTGTGTGTGTGTGTGTGTGTGTGTGTGTGTGTGTGTGTGTGGGTGCCCTCTGTGCAAGTATTTATGCACAAATCTGCTGTGTTTGATTCCATCTAGCCGTCTCTGTGGTTGGGTGCACATGAACATTATCTCCAGGCAACAGGTCAACTCTGCAATTGGTAGTAGGCTGCTGAGCCCCGCCCACTCAACTATGCATATCAATGATAAGTGTCATTATGATCCTTTTTTGAGAGTAACATGATTCTGTTTTGAGCACTAGTACATGCTTCAGCACACATTATTTTGAAGTATATTAATCAAAAATTGGAGTCAGTTTGAGTTTTGTTTCTAAAAAAAAAAAAAAGGTGCATGGATTTTTTTTAATACCTGCACACATTTAACTTGGACTTATGAACAAGCATAGATAAACTTTTAAAAGTAGAGGCTGTTCACTTAAGCACAGTTTGAAAGAGATTGGGAAAGTGGGAAAATGAGACAGATGGGAGGATCTTAAAGGGATGAGAAAGAAATGCAGACAGATGAAGAGACAGAAAGACAGCGAGATAAAATGTAATACCTCATAATGTTAGCTATGTGGACGACACATGTTTGTGTACTTGCTTTCCACTGAGCACAAGACATCGATATCTATTAGCAGGACAGGACTGGATTACCACAGCCGTGCGTGTGTGTGTTCATGTATTGGTGTGTGTGTTTGTGTGTGTGTGTGTGTGTGTGTGTGTGTGTGTCTGTGCGCCTCTTCCTTTCTTTCTCTCTTGTCCATAATAAATAGTTTTCAGCAGGTTTTCATGAATATTTTATCCAATTACTCAACAGAGTTGCTGTAGAAACTGGCAATAAATGCAGCATTAGAATTTGCTGGTATTTTCTTATTAAAAGTCATGAAAAGAACATTGCAAACAAACAAACAGCAAACTCGAACATGATGTTCACAGTGCCAGCAGGTGGTTGATGATTTGTTTTGTTCTGAGTGATTTCATGTAGAGGGGGAGCTTCAAACTGCATCCATGTAGTGGTTTCATGCAGGCAGACATGTTTGTTTCACTTCATACAGCTTCATCTTTTGATGAAAATAGAACAAACTGTGTTCTATTTTGCCAAATGCCAACAGCTTTCTTTCATTTGACCACACAATGGATGTTGCCAAAATCTATCAAATAACACTTGTTAAGGGCAGTGAACTTTGAATGTACTTTTTTTTTTTTCAAACCCCATGATATGATTCATCAAATTACATCACATTGGCTGAAAAAAGAAAACTTTCAGCCATTTGCAAGTTATGACTGTCCAGCCACTGGTTGTGCTTTCTTATATCTGATTGGTTATAACAAGGGTAAACAATTTATTCTGGCAGGGTTTCTTCTTTTTGAAATTATGTTTTTATTACCAACAGCTATCTATAAAGTAAAAGCTTAACAATGGTTGTGACTGTTATAGACCTGAAGGTTGGACCTACTATTCAACAAGGGCAGAATAAAAGAAATGGGATGGTTCACCTGCCTGCCTGTCTGTTTCCTACATACCTGCACACACTGTACCCGTACACTCAAAGATAGCGAGATGGCACTGAAACGTCTGATAAATCCATTTTGGTTGGCATTGACGATGATGCACTGTTCTCCATCATAGGAGAGAATTTTACATTTTTCTGATTAGTTTTAATACGATCTTGCTTACTCTTGCCAAATTCTCCAAAGTTGCCGATCCCATCTTTGAGGGTATGAATGCCAAAGTGTTTTTTAGTTTTTTTTCCCGTGCAATATGAAAACTAGTTGTTGCTTAACTAACTTGTCCTTATCCTAATTAAAGAAAACGTCCTTGTTTAATTTGAAAACCACAATTTATATATAAAAAATGGTTGTTGTACTTTCCAGGCGAGGTCCATTGGATCCAGCTGACCACCCCATGCAGCCCTGGTCGGGTCATTACTCTCCACCTCCCCAGACCCAACAAGCATACCCCCAGTCCCCATCCTACCACAACCCCAACTCTGCACCACCTTATTCGGGCTACCCACCTGGCCAGCCATATGCACGGCCAGTGGACCCTCGGGGCATGGACCCAGGGTACTACCCTCACCCAAGGTAATAAGATGAAGGAACATTGAGTCATATCGCATGACCCATAATGTTTGAAGTTGGAAAAATAGGTTTGTGGTTCAGAACTTTTTGATTGAAACTTTGCCCATCATTTTTTTGATATCAACTTTTATTAAACTTTTAAGTCAATCTTCTTTTCCTTGCCTTTTGTTATGAAGAAGAACACTCATCTTCAGCTGTTCTTTCTCACATTTTGTTGATGTTTAGCTCCCAGCAGAGAGGCCCCTTACGGCAGGATGTGCCCCCCTCTCCCATCCCCCCTCTCCGTGGTCCACGGTACGACACTATGACAAGAGGATCAGGGGGAGGAGTCTACAGGTAGGGGATTTGTGGAAGAACATGATTCCAGGTAAACTCTACGAACTTAAAACCCTACTTTACAAATGATTCAGTGAATTGATTTTAACATATAAAGGGTATACAGTGAATTAATTGGTTCAAATACACATTAAACATTTTAAGTAAGAACACAGCAATTCAGTCTTCAATGAATAAATCCGAGAACTTGTTTTATTGGTTACAGGCACATGGTGAATCCTAGTCCAGACCAATATGGCTACACTGGGGAGGGAGGAAGACAGCAACCGCAACACCAAACCAACCAGAGACAGAAGAATGCCATGACTGCAGCCGTGTAGACTGATCAGTTCCAGAGATGAAAATGAGCAGAATGCTTACTGCTTTGTGTTGTTTTCGCTGATGCTGATGCTTCTGGTACTGAAAATGAAACAGAACTGACACCTCTAAATGGTGTTATTTGAATCACCATCATTATCAAACATTGTCTGAGCTGTTTGAAGTATATGGTAATACACAGACAAGCAAGGTAAAGGAGGTTAATTATAGAGTGGCCAGTGTGTGCATGGTATCTTGTTCTTTGAAGTCATTTAAATTGCTTTGAATCTTCAGAGAGTACAAATTGGCAGGGGTTTTACAATTGACTGTGCTCTGCGCTACAAAGGTTTTGGATCCATTTAAATGAAGGCAATAAAGAAATACAAGCAGCTCTACTCATATTAAATTAGGTACTTTCATTTCTACTGCTGCATGAGCAAGACAAATGAATGTTTGAAAACTAACATGTAACATGTTTTGCTGCCCTGTGGCCATACTGTATGTGGCCTAATAACAGAAATCAGTGGCACACTAAAGGGTCAGTATTTTGGTCGGTTAATCCCAGATTTTAAATTCATGTTTACATGAAAGCGTTTGGCAGGGTTTCAGCCACCTCTCAAAGTTGAGTTGAGAGAAGTGAAAATGTTCCTGTGTTCTAAACCTGTGTGGAAAGCAAGAAGTCTTTCTTAACTTTGTAAGTAACCACTACTTAAAACAAATTCTGCATCAATAGACAGTATATTGATCCATCCCAAGTTCATAAAAAAAACTCTAAAAAGCGTTTACATTTCAGCCACGGATATGTTTTTATCTAAAGTAAGTATTTTTCGTCTGAATTCCCCAAGCAGGGAAAACTCCCCTTTGTAAAATAACGTGTTTTATACTGGTGACTAATCTGACGTTTAAATGACAGTATATTTTTTATCAATGATTTTTAGAAAGTTTAACATGTCACACCAGGGCTCAGTCCCAATATACCCCTTGTCCCAATATAACCACTTAGCCCTACCCCTACATTTTGAGCGTTCACGTCTAGGGGTAAATTTGTCATGAGAAATTTCCCAGAATGCCTATCCTTTACATCGGCGTGTCTGTAACTACCGTCAATGTCTACTGATGACGTATCAGGGTCTTAAAGGGTCGTCCCATTAAGTAGGGGGAGTTTTCAACACTACCCCTTATAACTCTGTTCAGAGGCGGAAATGGACACACTAGGTACTGAGCCTTACACTATGAATTAACTTTTGGTCAATTCTTTGAATTATAAAATTTAATAATGTGTTTTATACAGAATGATTTGATTACCTTTCATTTTCAACCAAAATATTTCTCTCAGCAGAGATGAGTAGCCCAGGACTGGACAAAGTAGTCTGAACAATGTCTGGATTGTACAGCATGTACAGATGGCCCTGTTCCTTTTTTTAAAGTGATCCTGTGAAACACTTCGACTGTAGAAGTACTGAACCTCCAAATATCAATCATTTAATTACTCTCAAGAAATCTTATCTGGAATGAAACTGCATTTATCTTTGAAGAGAAAACTTTGTTTAAACTTACTTCTATTTGAATGTATGAAAACTTCTTGGATTATCTAGTCACAGTTATTTGTATTTAATCCACGGAGTCTATCTGTGAAAAACCTAATTGGTGAGAGTTTTCTCTTTTCACAAGATGAGAGCCACATTTTCTAACTCTTGAATCAATCTTCTACAAACATTGACATCATGGATGAAACTTTTTAAGTTTGGATGAGTTATGGATGAAACTTTTTAAGTTTTTAAGTTTCATCCATTGAATTAATATGAAAGGACAGGAAGTAGAATCTAAGCAACATAACACACGCAGCAAAGCAACACTTAATTTACACCATAGTCGATTTGTATGGCGGCCTTTTCCTCTACTGAAAGTATAATCTCTTTATAACAACCTCGATGCATGTGAAAATTGTTCTTTACCTAACAAAGAGCAATGTATCATTGTGCGATGTGAGAAATGAGAAATGAGCAAAAAAGCCAATAATGTTGGTAAAGTTGATTACTACACATCGTTTATAACCACTTTCCACTTAGATGGACCACTGTGTCGTGTATTAGTCCTGTACCATTTTTACACTAGAGCAGAGTAGTTCCTGACCATAAAAACATTACTGTTTAAACAAAAGACAAAAAAAGTCTCTCTTCTTTTGGCAGATGTCCAGTTTCAAACTCATTTTCACTCTGTAAAACCTTTCAGCCTCTTTTTTTTCTTTGTGATGTCTGTGTATGCCATGTACTGTAGTTGGATGTAATGGATGATCACTGCACATATCTGTGACCTGGTGGTGTAGGCGTCACTGTGTGCTAAAGTGGACACAAGGCCTGTTGAAACATGGATTGAGCCTCTGAGTGCTCTTTTTAATGCTGCACCAATGGTTGATATCCATTTAGCCACTTACTGAACCACCAATTAAGTGTAACTAAAGAGTCAGAGCCTAGCTTAATAGTTATATGTTTTATCCCACAAAGCTCCGCAGTATTCATTTCAATGGAGATTAAACACTAAAAATGACATTTCAGGATTAGGTGAAATGCTTCTCTGTTAATGTGACTGAGGATGAAATCCCACTGAAGTGAATGTTGAGTGTCTTTTGACTGAAACCAATGCAAAGAATGTGAAGTAGATTTCATTTCAAAACCATCTCAGTAGTATGTTTGATGGATTTTGATCGTGTTGAAAGAGGGAAGTTGCAGGTTGGATGAGATGAGTTAAAAAATAGACAAGAAAAGTAGTGAAAGGACGGAAGAAAGGACCGGAAATGAGGGTTTGGTAGTGAAGCAAGGAAGGGGGAAATAAACTTTAGTATGTAGGGAAGGATGAAGTGTATTGCTAAAAAGAGATTAAAGAAACAAACATTAGGCTGAAATAATAGAAGGATGGAGGAAGGTGAGAGAATTGGTATGATCAGATGCAGTGCAATGACCCAAAAGCCTTTGTGGTTTGAATCGGAGAGTTTTCAAACAAGAGCAGAACAAAGAAAAAGGATAAAAGTTCATAACAATCTGGGCGTCAGTTGATCTTCAGTAGGAGGAGGGTCACTGGAGTGGGCTTGTATTGATTGAATGTTGTGACTGTGGGAATTACTAACAAATACTTTCTTGTGCTGTTATGAATTTAAAGAACCAGTTTGAAAAATGAGACTTTCAAATAATACTGTCAAAGTATAATGAATGTACCAAAATATGCAATATTTTATGGAGGTTGGCTTGGTGGTCAACTCGCAGAGAGCTAATGTCAAAACAATCCAAATGCTTTATGAGCGCATTCTCTCCAAGTTATTATTCAGTGCGTTTACATGCGGTTAGAAAACTTCAATTTATTGTGTGCTGTCTGACATAAACTGGATTTTTGAAATAAGCGTAAACATGTTAGTCCGACGGTACTCAATTGAATTACTAGAAGTTGGACTGAAACACCTAGAAAATGAATGAATAATGCAGCTGTAGGTTGAATAAATGTTGCGTATAAACACCTCAATCAGACCCAAACTGGACTAGGTGTTCTGGACATGCTCCACAGTCCCCACTCCGGACTTTTACCCCGGAATTTGATAAGTGTGTAACATAGCATCACATATCACCATAAAAAGGATAGCGTCCATGGCATTAGAATCAAAAGTAAAGCACAGAGTATGTACGAAATGTACAGAGCTGTAAAAATGTTTTCATTTTCACCGTTCGACATACAACCACCACTTTGCCGTTTGCTAACTTGCTAACTCATTAACAAGGTCAACCGGAAGCAGGTCCAATAGTAAGGAGCTAATATAATATATCGCCACCTTCCATATCAGAGTTGCACATTTTTCACTCAGTAAATCGAATCTCCCTCTGTGCATGTATACTGGGACACGGACAGTATTCCAATTCAATGGCCTAATGGAGCTTAGCTGAGCCTAGCTCGGCTTAACTGTGCATGTAAACATACTTATTGGCTCGTACAGAAGCACCAACAGTAGAGGAATAGTGTTCCTAGCCTTACTCTAGATGTGAAACATTTCAATAGTTTAAAATAAAGTTGTTGTTTTGAATGTACTGGAGAACAGTTAAAGTTATATACAATCTGATCAGAAAATAGCAGATTGTGTATACTTGTATTCTGAATCTGTAGCCAGTATACCAAACCAGTGTTTGCTGTGCAGAACCAAAAGGTCAGTTATGAGTTTAGATGAATTCCATCCATTAAAGGGTTAGCATGAAGAAAAGAAGAAAATCATCAGCTGGTGTCTCCTTGACTAATTTGGCGTCATTATTCCAATTCAATGGCCTAATGGAGCTTAGCTGAGCCTAGCTCGGCTTAACTGTGCATGTAAACATACTTATTGGCTTGTACAGAAGCACCAACAGTAGAGGAATAGTGTTACTCTAGATGTGAAACATTTCAATAGTTTAAAATAAAGTTGTTGTTTTGAATGTACTGGAGAACAGTTAAAGTTATATACAATCTGATCAGAAAATAGCAGATTGTGTATACTTGTATTCTGAATCTGTAGCCAGTATACCAAACCAGTGTTTGCTGTGCAGAACCAAAAGGTCAGTTATGAGTTTAGATGAATTCCATCCATTAAAGGGTTAGCATGAAGAAAAGAAGAAAATCATCAGCTGGTGTCTCCTTGACTAATTTGGCGTCATTATGAAATCAAGAATGTATTGCACGTCTTTAGGACTGAACGATCACAATGCAAACATCACAGATCTCTTATAACTGTGTGTATCTGAATGCCGGGTCGGTGCCTGGTGGAGCTTTGCTTTGAGCGGCAGCGTTTTGAGATGTGAACATTACATGAAGCTGTATTATTTTTACTCCTGTTATGTTAGCACATGATTTGCATGTATTTTAATCCTCACAAACATTTATATATATATATAATATATATATATATATATATATATATATATATTTCTTTTTTAATGATAGTCTGTGTTGTTAGTTTGGCTAAACAGAGCGTCAGAGTGTTTGACCATTGTTACCCTGCAGTTACGCAAAATCACTCACTGCATTTTTATTTCTCTAAAGAAGTTCATGTTTTATATAAACATCTTCATTGAAATCATTTACTAAAAGTGAATACACATTGGTTTGCATAGCATGGTTAACAAATCAGACACTCTGTCATGATGGCTCTTTGGTTTTTGTCAGTATGGTTCGACTTGCACAAGCTGAAGGTACTACCCAGAGTCCTGGATATGAAGACGTTTGGTACTCCTGGTTCCTCCTTTGAAGAAACCAGTAAATGAAGGAACCAACTAAACAACCTCTCTGTCGTAGAAGTCTTAACATTTACTTTTAGACTGCTTGTAACCAAAAATCCATGAAAATAAAAAAAAACTCTTATTTTGTAATGAAGCAATAACAATGATTTGTATTACTGTTTTCCTACATTTTATATTTATATATAGAACAACTCTTTTGCATTAAAAGATTCATTTGAAAACAGGATTTGGCCCGAGATGTCTTACTTTAAATGTTTTAACATGTACTTCTTTTTTCAGCCACAATGTCTGCCCAGCACATCTGCTAAGGTTAATTAAATATGAGTCAGGAGAAATTATTTCCCTCATGTCCCCCCGTACACGGCAAGGTGAATCATTAACATTGCCAACCCAATTTAGTCCATCATTTAAGCTGCTGATAAATTGTACCTTTGTGATAAGAGATAAATGTTGGCCTCCAATTAATTCAAGACTAATTATCAATTTAAAAAAGGAGATAAGGTACGAAGATTGCGGCATAAAGTTTTTTCTTTCCGATTCTCTGGCGTAGTGCCATCACACTGCAGGGTCATATCCCTCCCTGCCATTATTAAACATTTAGTCACAGGCTGTGGCTTAAGGTGCCTCTTATTTATGAGACACTATGCTGTGCTGGACTTGTGCTGCAATCACAGAACTTAGTAGTAATGAGACACAGAGTCCAAGGGAGAGTTTTATCAGTCAAGGCTTAATTAGCATAACCCAAACCTCTCAGCCAATGGGGAGACGGAAAGGAAAGAACTACATTCTCACGAGGCACTGCCAATGTGTGCCCAGTGTGTGGTATTGATTTGCAATATGTGTCTATGTTGTTGTGTATCTCCAATGCTCTAATTACAATGGCCATTTAAGTAGTTGGGGTTTGTGTTATTGCGTGTCAGAACTTCAATTAGTTTAAGAGATGAATTACAGCCTGGACTCCTCTCCCTGGATGAATATTTCACTAGAAAGGAGCAAATGAATGCAGTTTACAAAGACCGAACAAATGGTCGGCAGACTGACTGATTACCTGAAGGATGAACTTTTGATTTCATAGCTTTAATTAGCCGACCAGCAGGTTGTTAAAAGAGCTAAATGTTGAGAGGTATTCAAAGCCTTTTGTTGACATACAGTATAATGTTGCTGCTATTGTTGATCTAAGTGACAATCCTTAATGACTACAGAAGCTCAACGCTGTTGTTTTTTCGATAGTATTCCTGCGAAAGTGAGTCCTGTTAGTTTTCACCAACCCAGTAAAGGTCAGACATAACGAAAAACAAAGTCAAGAACTTGTCAAATAAAGTGAATGTCTTATAAGGTCACCTCCAATGGGGTCCTCATGCTTCATAAGATCTTTCACATATTCACTCCTGAAACTTTTTTAGAAAATGTACGGACAGCATGCCGTTGTTATTGAACATGAAGGCGAATCAAAGTCTGGACTTTTGTGAATGTCTGAAAACTCAATGTCTACTTGAATGAAACCTATAGAGGTGTTCCACCACTTATACAGTTTAAAATATTTTACTGTTGATGGGCTGCACTGTGTACAACAGCATGTGAATGTTAAATGAAGGTAGCTTGTATCGTGTTTTTCTAATCTTCTGACTACTCAAAGTGCTTTTACACCGCAGGTCACACCTACACATTTACACCCGGATGGCAGAGGCTGCTGACTAAAGTGTCCATCAGTAACGCTGACGCCGAAGCAGCAGGAGCAACTCGAGGTTAAGTGTCATGCCCAAGAACACATCTGACATGTGGCTGCAGGAGCAGGGGATACAACCCCCCACCATCCAGTTCAGAGATGACCGACTCTACCAGTGGGCTACAGCTATTCTTCTTAAATTCTCACAATAAGCCACAGTAAGTTTGACCCAAGCCAGGCTAAAACAATTTTGGCATGGGACTTCTTGTGGCTCCATATAGATGTCAACATTAGCTCTGCTTAGCTTAACGAAGTATAACTAATGGTTGAATGTGCTGCTTAATTTGGTACAGCTTTTTTCCCCCCTGAAATCCGATAATGACTGCAAATTGTAAGGTCATTTCGCTATTTCAACAACCCTCAGCCAGTTCTTAGAAGACGTGCAAACATAATTAAAGGTCAACGTTTCAGGAAAGGCAGAAGGGGGACAAAAACCCAAATGAATTCTGAATTTAGTAGATCAAATTCAAAAGAAGGAACTGTTAGAAATTAAAATCTGTCGTGTGCCCCTCAAAAACTCAATAAGTTGATTGTATATCAGGGCTTGTTCCTGGAAGACGTCTGTCTACTAGTCGCTTAATTAAATGCAGATTAATTGGACTTTTATGAATTCTGACTGACCACAATTCTTATCCTGACAGAAAGCTGACCGAGTGGCCTCGTGCTGGTTAATGATTTTACTGATGCTGTTTCCAAGAGGCTGTCAGACCTCCTGATGGACTCACAGTCTGGCTGTATGAACTACCCTCTGACTGACTGACTGACTGGCTGGCTGACTGGCTGGCTGGCTGTGTAATTGCTCCAACCTCCCTCCCAGAGCATGTTTGGCATGCTGTAATTATTAGCAGTTATTATTAGCAGGTTTAATAATCATTGGAAGCCATTGTAATTAGGATTTCCTATTATGAGTGGCAGCCTGTGTGCGTGCGTGTGCGTGTGTTTGTGTGTGTGTGCGTGTGTGGCTGAGTCTACTTGGCAAGGTATTGTTAAGTTGTAGCTATTATTGGCAGCATGCTTTGTGCTCCCTTGACTCCTGATTATTTTCATGTAAAAATGTTCTTAAAGGGCCATCCTTGGAACTGACAAACCTCCAAAAATCCTCATTAATTATTGTCAACTTCTGATCGTGTTTTCTCTCTCACTAATCCAAGCATGACAAGCAAGTTCCACATGGTGAGGCTTTTTTTTTCAACATCGACACATCTGTCACATCTGCACACCTGTCCATTTCGGGACAAATCTAACAGGGTTCATTTTTGTTGCTTCCAGAACTTCAGTGACTCTCAGGTATCATTTGCTGAAACCAATGATTGTAGTTCAACAATGTGTAATTAGCATTAATGTGCAGATGTGATACGTGACCAAACTTGGGACTTGGGTTAGGAACTGGAGGGTCGCCAGTTCAAGTCCCGGTGCGGACCAAAATATAGAAGTTGGCCTGGTGGCCGAGGAGGTTACAGGCCACTTACCGAGTACTGCCGAGGCATCCTTGAGGCACCGAACCCCCAACTGCTCTGGAGCGCTCCCCTATGTTGCAGTGTGTAGCAGCCCCACTCTGACATCTCTCCACTAGTGCATATCCACAGGTCCTGTTTGTGCATGTGTGTATTTCGGGACTATGTGTGTTCGAAGCATGTCTCTCTCAGGAACAGAGTGTAAAACAGAATTTCCCTCAGGGATTAATAAAGTATGTCAAATTAAATTAAAGAAATCAAAAAGATGTGACCAGAACAACTTCAGATTCACTTTTTATTAATTACGTTCACATAGTTTTATTAAATAATTTCATAGGTTTAAAGGGGTTGAACTAGCTTTTAATTTACAAAATGCCTGGGGCATCTATGCCTACTATATAGCTCCACCAGTTTACAGCTCTGTTGCCAAGGTAAATCCCCCACAGGGCCAATAATTTCTAATCTTCTCTTAAAACATAAAAATACGATTTTCTTTTTTGACGTCGTCGTGTCGTAGAAATATGTATTTTCCAACATCCTATAATCCTGTCAGGAGTCTTGACACCCAGGTTAGAATTAAATTGATGTTTTGAATTAAAGATAGAGATTTATCTCGGGATTGATTAACTCAAGGGTGGAAATGTCGAAAAAACTATAAGAAGTAGAGAGACAACTAGAGTGAAGAAAACAGCTAATTCTGTGTTCCGTCAACTTGTGTGTGTGTGTGTGTGTGTGTGTGTGTGTGCGTCTCAGTGTGTGTTAGTGTGTGTGTCCTCAGATTCACATCCTGACAGGGTCATGGACAGTGTATCAAGAACACTGAGCTTATCTTATTAGATGTGTGTGTGTAAA